CTCCAGGAGTGTTGGCTCTGCTGGATGAGGAGTGCTGGTTCCCTAAAGCCACAGATAAAACTTTTGTAGACAAGCTRATCCAGGAGCAGGGAACTCACACCAAGTTTCAGAAACCTCGCCAACTCAAAGATAAAGCTGACTTCTGCATCATCCACTACGCTGGCAGGGTAAGCCTTTGTACACGTTAGACCTCAAATGAATTGAGAGGTGTGTTGTTTTTTTAAATACAGCTTTGCTTTAAAATGAAACTTATTTGAAGTATACTAGGACTGTTTTGTCTTTGTATGGGAGTGCATTTAGATGCAGTCAGTAGTTTCTATCCTACAGACAGAGCTGCTGAGTCACACATCTTATAATAAAAATGTAGAATATATGGTGTTCTCTGCCGGACAAACTCCAGCTTTAGGAATGTTAGCTGTAAAGAAAACATGCAGCATCCTGGAACCAAAACTTGTGAATGTTAGAGTTGTTTTGCTGAAAACAGGCCTACATGTCAGCTGTTTGTAAAAGTTATATTTTTAATGCGTTTCTCCCTAATTTTAGAATAGATAGATGGAAAAATAAAAAACTTTTTTTTGTACAATAGGATTTTAAAGGGGCAGTATCATGTAAAATGAACTTTTTTTAGTTTTATATCATGTTATGTTATCCGCTCATCAAAAACAGAGTCTTACTTTGATTCATTCATGCATATTTGAGTAATCCTGTAGTGTCCTGAGGCAGCCAAGCAGGAGAGCAAAAACCACCGGTTGGGACTAGAACCACCTTCAGGGATCAGCTCCTCCTGTGGGCTGTGTCTCTGAATTGAGCTTCCTCATCACAGAGTACATTTAAACATAAAAACAACATTTTAATAACAGTTGAAGGAGACATAGTTACTTTATTATGGTATAGAATTTAAATATAAGCCTGAGAAACACATAATATTGACCTTATGTCAAAGAATACAGTATTATACGTAGTTCAGATGTGTATCACATTTTACTCTTCATCTCAAATACTTCCAGGTCGACTACAAAGCAGATGAGTGGCTGATGAAGAACATGGACCCTCTGAACGACAACGTGGCCACACTCCTGCATCAGTCCACAGACAAGTTTGTGGCTGAACTGTGGAAAGACGGTAAATTACCTCTTCTCTTTATCTGAATCCTAATAGCAGCTAGAGCCCATGTGTGTAACATGTCCTGTAGGATTCATGTGTGTTTGTAGAAAACACCAACATGCCTGTGTGAGTCGACTAACTATGGCTTTTGTCTTTGTTGTTCTGCACATTTCTCAAGTCTAAATCTGTCATACTGAACACCGCTCCCACTTCCCTCTCTTTCTCTGTGTTGTAGAGATTCAGATCATTCAAAGGGCCTCATTCTATGACAATGTCTCATGTCTGGATGAGCTGGAAGGTGAATGACTGAGTTGCACCTCAGCAGACCTGGGCAAAAATATGAAATGCTCAGAACGATCCCTGCTGCTGTGAAACACTGCTCAGGAAGGCCCGAGCGGCTAAATGCACATAATCACTCTAAAACGAGATGAAGTGGAGTGAGTAGGTGTATTTTTGCCCCGATCTGCCTGTAGCCGGTGCCGTGGGTCACGCAGTGTTTGAAGAGACTCCCCATCTGCTTCCAGGCTGCATGGCTCATTTGATTCAGCCAAAAGTAGCAGCGCCTAGTTCCTATGTATCTTACAAGTAGAACAGAGTCATTTGCTTCTCTTAGCTGAACCAGTGAGCTTTMATTTTAGCATCTTTGTGTGCCCAAGTTATGTATGTTCCTAATTTTACCGTGAGCGAGACATCCAAAAGCAAATGAAGAATATTTAATAATAAAGAAAAGCCTGCCTCCTGAGTAAGATCAGTGACTGAGAATTAAAACCAAGTGTTCTTGGTTTTTCACTTCAGCTCTGAGCTCATCATGGAAAATCCAGACAGAACAACATTTATCACATTCATCTAGGTGTTAAACGTTGAGCAATCTGTGACTCAGCATGTGAATTAAACTGCTAAGGCATTTATAAGCCTTTCATTTTAGTCTTTTAGAGAAAATGTTCAAAGGCATCACTCCCYATGGTTAAATGTGACTGTTTGGTTTATTGAGCAGCTTGTTTCAAGTTGATTCAAACTTTAGAGCAGATATTTTTATTGGAACATTTAATTTCCTAATTTCAGCACAATAAGACTCAATAAAAGCTAAATTATGACGTTTAAAAAACGCCAACGGTCAAAACATTCTTATTAAAAGCTCTAAATCTGTCTCTTTGGTCCAGTAGTTGAAACATTTTTAAACGGAGGTTCATACAGTTTATGGAGATGGATSATAGCCATGCTAAAATGTTTTATTTCACATTAAAAATATTTTTTACTTCATGAATGTTTAGTTAGAAGAGCTGAATCAAAGTTAGATGTAATGTAAGTAAATAGAATCCCTGATAGTCACATGCTTCGTCTCCATCTGCAGAGGCAACAGTAGATGTTTTTTCTGCCCTGCTAGAGCTGATAAAATGTTTTCATCCATCTGCACTCAGTCATGTAGCTTCCTCATGCTGCTGTTCTGCTGTTCCTGCAGCGATCCTCCTACAGCTGACAAGTTTTATCTGTCTGTGTCCTCACCAGTGGACCGGATTGTGGGCCTGGACCAGGTGGCCGGCATGAACGAGACGGCGTTTGGCGCCACCTACAAAACCAAAAAAGGCATGTTTCGTACCGTTGGACAGCTCTACAAAGAGTCGCTCACCAAACTCATGGCCACACTGARGAACACTAATCCCAACTTTGTCCGCTGCATCATCCCCAACCATGAGAAAAGAGTAAATCTGTACCTTTACTTTTTATAGACTGCACCGTACACTTAAGCCATGGTTCAATACGTTGTGCTACAACAAGAAACTAATGCCAGTCAGTTTTAATTTTTTTATTTTGTTTTACTGCAGGCAGGGAAGTTGGAGCCCCACCTGGTTCTGGACCAGCTCAGGTGTAACGGGGTCTTGGAGGGGATCCGCATCTGCAGACAGGGCTTCCCCAACCGCATCGTCTTCCAGGAGTTCAGGCAGAGGTGCCGAACTCCTCAGACTCCTTTCTCACAGAGGAGCGTTTCTTAGAGGAGAGAATAAACGTTTGTTTTTCCTTTCAGATACGAGATCCTTACACCCAATGCCATCCCCAAAGGATTCATGGATGGAAAACAAGCCTGTGAAAGAATGGTAATAAATCATCCTTTTTTCTCTCTTTGTTTTGTAAATGTTGCTCTGAACATATCGGTGTTTGTCAGATTCAAGCCCTGGAGCTGGACCCCAACCTATACCGTATCGGTCAGAGTAAGATCTTCTTCAGGACCGGCGTTTTGGCTCACCTGGAGGAGGAGAGAGACCTGAAGATCACCGACATCATCATCTACTTCCAGTCTGTGTGCCGCGGATACTTGGCTCGCAAGTAAGTTTCGGACCTTCACTTGTGCTTTTTTATTTGGTTTCATCATAAAGAAACTGTGAACTGTTAGTCCRGTCCTCCCGGCTGCCCTGCACCTCCTTTCAGGCCTCCAAATCAGCTGCTGTATCAATCACACACTTCTGCTCCCTGATGGCTTTACAGTGTCTACTTGTTCTCAAAGAAAACTGGCATTACTGGAAACCCTGGATACACACAGGGGTCATGAGCCAGCTCTACTCAGTCCAGCTCTTGTGGGGTCTCGGATACTAAACATCCAGATGTTTGGAAACTTTAAACCCAGAGAATCTAAATCTACACTGAGGGGAAAAATCTAAAGATGCATCAATTTAGCAGCTGAAGCTACCGTCAGTGGCACTGCTATAAGAATAAATTGATGTGAAATCAGTTTATTTGAAGGGTAAACCATCACTTGCAGGAAACTCATGTAACGTGATATTTAAAGCTTAAATTAAGTTATTTGCTGCTTATTTTTACATTAAATTCCTTTTTTCTGTCTTCAGACATATAAGCAATGGTTTATGCCAGATTATTTATTATTTTTGTTTCATTTTAGAGCTTTTGCTAAGAAGCAGCAGCAGCTCAGTGCCCTGAAGGTCCTCCAGAGGAACTGTGCAGCTTACCTGAAGCTGAGGCACTGGCAGTGGTGGAGGCTCTTCACCAAGGTAAGACCTCAAACACACCCTCAAATGTAGGTGTTAAACTCCAGAAACTGATTCTTATTGCATTTGTTGTGTTTCAGGTGAAGCCGCTGCTGCAGGTCACCAGGCAGGAGGAGGAGCTACAAGCCAAAGATGAGGAGCTGCTGAAGGTGAAGGAGAGACAGCTCAAAGTGGAAAATGAGCTGGTGGAGATGGAGAGGAAGCACCAGCAGGTAAGATTTTTACTGATGATTAAAATAAAAATAAATAAGAGATTATTTGATTTTCAAACTGTTTCTTTATCCTGAAGCTTCTGGAGGAGAAGAACATTCTGGCAGAGCAACTCCACGCAGAGACGGAGCTGTTCGCTGAGGCAGAGGAGATGAGAGTTCGCCTCCTTTCCCGGAAGCAGGAGCTGGAGGAGATCCTCCATGACCTGGAGTCCAGAGTGGAGGAAGAGGAGGACAGGAGCCAGAGTCTGCAGAATGAGAAGAAGAAGATGCAGTCTCACATCCAGGTTTGTGTCGTCCTCCTGATCATCTTCAGTCACAGGAACTGCTGCAGTAGATTAGCTTTAAACTAAAACTTTTAGATGGCTATCACCATGACCTTTTTTTTTATTTAACCTGCATCTGATTAATGACTTCACATCAGACGTCATGAATTTGTGTTTTCTTCCTTAGGATCTGGAGGAGCAACTGGACGAGGAGGAAGCTGCGAGGCAGAAGCTGCAGCTGGATAAAGTCACAGCTGAGGCAAAGATCAAAAAGATGGAGGAGGACATTCTGCTGCTGGAAGATCAAAACTCAAAGTTTCACAAGGTTAAGAAAATGTATCTAATGATGGTTGACAAAAAACCCTCGTAACCAAACTGTTTGTTGTTCTTAGGCCTGTCGCGATAGTCAATAAATCAATAAATCGCACGATAAATTTTTTTGAGGTCGGTTAAAAAAATGAGGACGATAAAGTTTCATTTTTCTGCTTGTTTGTTTACTTCGTCTCTCTCCCTCTCTGTGCTCCGCTGCACAGGGGCTCAGCTAACTCCTCCCCTCCTGTTTTCTTAGTGTCGGGAGGAGTCAACTGTCGCTTTAGCGTGAGAGCTCGTAGCAATAACAAAGTAAGGAAACGTTTCAAAGCAGAACGCGGCTGCTGCATTGTCAGGGCAATTGCAGAGCCTGGATTTCGTTGCGAGGAGACACAGAGAGAGAGAGACAGACAGACAGACTCCCCCAGAGCATTGCATTGACTTTCATTGATTTACCAGTATTTTCTATTACCATTTGACCCTAAACCTAACCTAAACTTTACATAGGATGTGAACTGGGATTATGTCCCCATAAGAAACAGTGGGTCCTCACCAGGCTGTGTAGTTTGCTTCATCTCTAAAGAGATGCTGCTCTTTAATATTGTTTATTTACTGTCTTAGTTGTGTGTGGTGTTTAATTTACATTTTGTTGTTCTTTGTTTTGTTTTTATTCAAGTGAATTTTTGTTAGAGACTGAGAGTCCACTTTGTTAAACATTCTTTAAAAATTAAAGTTTATTGATTTATTACACTTACATATTACGCTTTTATAATTATTAGTTGTAAAATGGTCACCAGGCAATATTATTGCTTATCGCAATAATTTGTGAGACAATTAATCGCCAAGCAAAATTTGTTATTGTGACAGGCCTAGTTGTTCTATCAAATATGGCTTTTCTCTTTAATATACTTTAAAGTCCCAGAAGTTTCAGTTTCTCTCTGATCATTACTCAGCTACAATACGTTATTGATAGTTGTATTTTTTTATATAACAGGAGAAAAAGCTGCTGGAAGACCGGATTGTTGAAATGACCACTCAACTAACAGAAGAAGAAGAGAAAGCAAAGAATCTTGGCAAAGTCAAGAACAAGCAGGAGATGATGATGGTTGACCTTGAAGGTAAACAAACTGCTTTTATTGTCTTCATTTAGGCGTTACTGAAGTATTTACAGCCATATAATGAGGTAACAAACTGCAGAAGTGATGATGTAGTCATTTTTCTCTTTAGAATAAATGTTATGTTAATTTTAATGTTTGCTGTCTTTACATGTTATTTTACTTCACGTTCCTACCTCCAGAGCGTTTAAAGAAGGAGGAGAAAACGCGACAGGAGCTGGAGAAGGCCAAACGTAAACTGGATGCTGAAACCACCGACCTGCAGGACCAGATCGCTGAGCTTCAGGCACAGGTGGAGGAACTGAAGATGCAGCTGATTAAAAAGGAAGAGGAGCTACAAGCTGCGTTGGTCAGGTTGGTCATTTCAAAATAAAATCTCTGAAAGCTACAACTGTTGGAGCAGAGTTAATCAGGAGACGAGACCCAGTTTCATCTTGAGGGATATGTCGGCCATTTTGAATTTGTGTTGTGGGTAAAAATAATGAATAATAATTATCTTACCTGTTGTAGATTGGTCTTTGAAAGAGCTCAGTTTAGAGAAAACAGTTCACTTTGGTCTTACGTTCACTCAGACTAGCTGTTAGCTCATCAATCCTGTCAGAATTTAACCTTTTTTTTTTCTCAAACTGGAGTCGTTCAATGACTCATCTCCAACAGGTAAGATATTGATCTTTTTAGTGTTTACACAGAGCCTCATTTCAAACCTGCGACAGAGTATTAGGGCCACACAACAAGATTTTTTATTATTATTATTATTATTATTATTATTATTATTATTACTAGAATAAATTCATAATATTACGAGGAAAAAAGTAAATATTACATGACGTGTCCATTTTCCCATCCCTCATTTCCTCCCTTATTTTCCTCACACCTGCTGTGTACAGCCATGTGTCTGTGTTTATAAAGTAGTCCATGATGACTTGGGTCACTGTGATTAATCATGTGCTTTCATCCAAATTATACGTGACGACTAAATCTGTCAATGCATCCATTAATTACAATACAGCTTCAGTTTATAGTCGTTTGCACAATTTCCAGGCGCTGCTATAATTTGATGCTAATGTGCTAAAAGATTAACTATTTATTTATAAGCAATACTAAAGAACAACTTGACAAGTTGCTCAACAAGTTGCTCCTCATTTTAATGCAGTGATAACTGCATGATTTTTCACGTAAAGGCTAGAATGTTATGACTTTATGCGACTTTAATGTCGTAATATTATGACTTTATTCTCATAATATTATGACTTTATTCTCATAATATTATGACTTTATTC